TTATCGAATGTTAAATGTTTAATATGTTGAATGTTGAATGTTTAATAAAAATTTTTTTATACGTTTTGTATATTATTTATTATTGTATATTATTATTTAGAAAAAATAGAAGTAATTAGAAATAATTTGATGGTAATTGATAGTAATTGTGATATTCATATTATTTTAATCATTTGCAAATCGAATACGACGATGTTATATTTAATGTTATTGTATATTATACGATTTGTATTATATAAATTACATTAGTCAAAAGAGTATTGAAGATTTATACAAAGTCAAGTATCAACGATTAATCTTACATAATGTCAGCTTGAAAACTGTTGCATCAGAAAAATATTGAGTATATTACTCATAAAATGCTGCCGTACAAACAGTTGTCTGCAACGAGTCGTGTAATATCACTCGCTGAGTATCATTTTATCGAATGTTCGTGAAGAAATTGTAAATCGATTTTTCAATAAAATCGAAGATTTGCTATGGAATACTGGTCGATATTGCTATCGATAGTGATCGGTGTGATCAGCATTTATTATCTTTTTAAAAATTTTAATTTCTTTAAACGACATGGTCTTATTCATATGCCGGTTGTTCCAATACTCGGTTCCATGTCATCGATTATATTTCGCCAAATAGCATTCGTCGATTCAATCGTGAAGATGTACAATTTCAATCCGAATGCAAAATATTATGGATTCTATGCCACGACAACTCCGACGTTCTTGCTTCGCGATCCAGAACTCATTAAGAGCGTTCTCGTTAAGGATTTCGAGGCATTTCCTAATCGTCGTGGTTTCAGTTCGGCCGATCCTTTACTCGGAAAAAATTTGTTTTCCCTTCATGGAGAAAAATGGCGGAACGTGAGGACTTTGTTGAGCCCTTCTTTTACATTGAGCAAGATGAAAATGATGTTCTCACTGATGTCAGATTGTGCTGTGGAGTTTGCTGAATTTCTGTCAACATTATCAGCGGATAGAAGCGAGATAGATATGAAAGATGCCTTCACTAAATATACGAACGATGTCATCGCCACGTGTGCGTACGGAATCAAGATCAATACTATGAAGGATCCGACAAACAAATTCTACGTTTACGGCAAGGAAGCGACTAGCTTCATAGGGTCTCGCTCTTTAAAGTTTCTTTTTCTTCGATCTTTCCCGGCTCTCAGTCAAATTCTCAATATAAAGCTTATAAGCGATCACGTGGCGAACTTCTTTAAGGATACTATAATGACTACGATTGCCACTCGTGACACCGAGCACATTACACGCCCGGATATGTTGCAGTTAATGATGGACATTAGAGGTAAAGAAGGCCGTCGACAACTGGACATCGATGAAATGACCGCGCAAGCGTTCATCTTTTTCTTCGGCGGCTTCGATACCAGTTCCACCGCGATGTCCTTCGCAGCTCACGAAATCGCAGTTAATCCAGAAGTTCAGAAAAAGTTACAACAAGAGATCGACAAGGTTTTAGAGGAGTCAAATGGAGAAGTAACTTACGAAACTATCAGCCGGCTCGAATATTTAGACGCGGTGATAAGCGAGGTTCTCAGATTATATCCACCAGTTCCCTTTTTAGAAAGGAAATGCGAAGGATCTTATGAATTACCACCCACATTACCGGGCGAGAAATCTTTCACTATGAAGAAAGATATGCTCTTTTGGATTCCAGTTTTCGCGATTCATCGTGACGAGAAGTACTATGATAATCCGGAAAAATTTTATCCAGAAAGATTTTTAAACAACAGGACGTACCATAATTCTTCGTGTTACATACCATTCGGATTAGGACCAAGAATGTGCATTGCCAACAGATTCGCCCTACTAGAAGTCAAAGTTTTACTGTTTCATTTATTAGCACGATGTGAACTGAAACTTTGCGCAAAGACTACATACCCAATGAAATTCAGTAAGAAAGGTCTGGTAATGATGCCGGAAAATGGTTTCTGGCTAAATATTCAGCGTCGAACAAATCCAATGATTGACTCCAAAGTTGATAGCTAAACTTAGAAAACATTTTAAATAACAATAATGAAGAATTATATTTGCAATAGAAATTATTCATACATTTTTATTAAAATGTTTTTTATTATATTAATACAATAATATTTCAATTACATTCATTATTATAAGCATATAATAATTTCACAATAATAATTATTTATTGAAATTATTTATTGTGAATATTATTAATGTTTAGTATTATTAAAAGTGTTATATAATAATATTGGAAGAGATAATATGTTGTCTATGTATGTGTTAATGTATATTAACAAAAATTATAGTGCGCATTGTGTGATACATTGAGTGCAACAGTGCAATTGTATGATAATTTCAAGGAAAACAAGATTGAAATAAAAATATAATTGAATATTGCGCATTAGAATTTGCACATATTTAAATAAAAAAGAAATGAAATTTAGAAGAAAAAATTATAACGCTAATATTTTCTTGGATAATTAGGATGAAATAAAAATATTATGTCAAAAAAATAAAAATATTCTATTGGAAAAAAATAAAATTTAATTATAAAATTCCAACAATTTTATTATTAATTTTATTATTAAGTTCTAATTGTTTAATTTTATAATTCAATTTTAATATTTAATATATGCAAATTTTGTAATTACACATTGATAGAATATTGTAAGAAATTTAATAAATGATTGTGAAAATATTTTTCTTATTTACCTTGTTCAGTTTCTCCATAACGAGACAATCTTTTGAGCTTTAATTTATTATATCGATCTCTAATCTTTTTTTAATGTCTCCTTATGAATGACCTTACATTTACATTTGTTATGATAATAATAATTTATTTTTATTTTTATATACCGTGTTTTAGTGAATTGATTCAAATCAATTATTATTACTAATATGTCTATATACTTTTACATTACGAAATACAAAAGGGAATATATGTATACAGCCAGGAAAATTTTAATTATACAAGTGTGTTTATTCAAAATACTATCTTATTACAATCATAAATTATATTAATCCTTTTTCTTTTTTCTAAAAAAAATTAGAATTATTTAAGTTTTAATTGTTTAACATTATATATATGTTTTTGTAACTCATTACATATTAGTATTAATATTATTAAATGACAAGTATGTAAACAAACATTATAAAGTATATACATCATATACATCAAGAAGTTGCTCCTTCAGATATTTTACTTAATTTTGTTATGTTAAATGTTTCGTTATATATTTAATTGTTATTGTAAATGATATATAAATATATGTTGAACTTGTCTAAAAGATTTTCAAATAATTTATTTCTTTAATAAAAAAAAATAAGCAATTTTATTTAGCAGAAATCTAATGACTGAAAATTCAGAGATAATGATTTTGAGAAAAATGTTTCTTCTATTATAATATTTTTTTCTTCCTATAAGGACGTATGGCAAAAAATCTAAAATTTTATATAACTATTTAATAGATAATTACGTTTTACAGTTTTAAGTTTTAATTTACTGTAGTAAATATATCTAATAATGAAACGATTCTTTCTTTATACGAACCAATTTTAGTAGTGGAAATACTTAAAAAAACTGATTTCTAAATTTTTAAAAAAATATTGTAGAAATTATTGGAAATATGAAAAAAATGTTTTAGAAAAATTTTTTGTCATGAAATGCTTTTAGAACCAAAAAGATTTTATCTGACTCAGAGTGGTAAGCATTTTGAACATCGTTTAAAAAAAAAAAATTTTTAAAAGTTTTCCTCTATTTTTCTTTTAATTGAGAAAATGCATTAATGAGAAAGAATATTATTTTTTGTTAATCATAAGAAATATGAAACAAAAATTTATTTATTTAAAAATGTTAAAAAATGTTTTTCTCTCCATTTGACTTCAAGAATCTATTATGTAACTTAAAGTCGTAAGTTGCAGGACATTGTGTACATAAGAGCGTAATTATATCTTTATGCAAATATTCACATTACACAATTACACAATTACACTAATCATTGCTTGAGAGAAGTACTAACAAACAAAAAATACTATAAAAGATATACTATATGTTATCAAGGCTTTATAAACTTTATTTTTTCAAATTATGCAATTATGCAAATTATGCAATTATTTTTTCAAGTATGATCTTTTGATTATATATACATGAAAAAAAAATTCTGATTAAAAATTAGAAATAGAACAAATCAGAAATACGAATTGTAATTACTGGATTTCTATTTAAATTAATTGGAAATCTATTGAATTAACCAAAAATCTTGTTAGCTTAAACTAAATTTTGATGATTATGATCGAAATTGCTGATTTGTTCATTTTAAAACAAAATTTTGATACAGCCAATCAAACTTTTTCCTATACTTTTAAATAATACAATGAGATATAATAGTTTTATGTGTTATAGCATAGTTTGCAATGTTCACCCATAACGACGAAATTGAAATAATAATAAAAGTCAACATGACGAATTCTTCATATGCCAGCATTAGCATAGACACGTGTGAACTTATATGCATATTAGCCGCTTCTGCATTAATAATATTAGAAAACAAACGGCTTATCATGCATACAATTGGAAATATATATATATACATTCAGACCAATCAGCACATATATTTCACATATATTTTTAGTTGTGTGCCTAGTGAATCGTCTATAAAGACGATTCACTAGACTATTTTCTAACATGCGAAGGATACAGATACAATCCACAGATCAGCGACTGACAGACATCATATTTCCTATCTTGTCTAATCGATATTTTTTTGGTTGACCAGACTTAGACACATTGTCTAAGTGACCTCGTTCTTGAAATCTTTGAAATTTTTTAATACTGTACACAGTTTGCTTTGGTAAAATGTCAAAACGTCGTGCAACTTCAGATAAGAATACACCATTGTTTAAAGCTTCTATAATATTTTTTTCTTTATTTTAGTTTTGATAAATTTTGCCCTCGCATCACCTTTGTAAGAATAAAATAAAAGCATAGAAAAAAGATATAGAACGCATATGTGAATATTAAACAATAAATTACATGTACAAATAAAACGTCCAAATACTTTTGTCCAATCAAATATAGATAAAACTTACTTTATACATGGTAAGATATTTTTGTGTAATTTGTTTGCGAGTTAGCGTCTGACTAATAGTAAATAAATAGCATTATATTAACGATGTGGTAACATAGAAAAACAAAAATGTTCGTCTAAATTTGTCGATAAATTTTATCCATAAAAATTCAAAATCTTTTTTTTATTTATTAAACAGAATTCAAGCAAACAATTCCAAGGTTGACATCAATTTGAGAAAGTTTTTATTAGAAGATTGGGTATATTAAGTAGTTATTTTATAAGCAATACTTCGCAATGATTTCTATTAGCATCGACAGTTTTTATATTTTTATATTTATAATTAAACATTTACGAAGAAATTGCGAAAAAAATTTTAATTAAAATTTGTCATGGAATGCTGGACGATATTATTATTGATAGTGATCAGTGCGATCAGTAGTCAAGTATTTCTTTAGAAATCTTAATTTTTTTAAAAGATATGGTATTATATCTACTGATTACTTTCAGTATTTGGCTCCGTAATACCGATTATATTTCGTCAATTATCATTTAGCGACTTTATCCTGAAAATGTACAATTTCTACTCAATGCAAAATATTTTGTATATTATATTACAACCTAATATATTATATTTGTATTATATTTGTAAATCTCATTAAAACCGTACTGATTAAGGATAGAGACATTTCCAGAGCGTCAATCTTTCAGCAATTTGAATTATTCTGTATTAGAGAAGAATATATTATTAATATTTAGTCTTCGTGGAGAAAAACGGCGGACTATGAGAGCTCTGTTGAATCCTTCTTTTATATTCAGCAAGATGAAAATGATGTTCACGTTGATATCGGAATATGCCGTAGAGTTTGTCGAATTTTTATAGACACTACCAACAGATAAAGACGTCATGGATATGAAAAATATCTTTTCTAAATATATGAGTGTCATCATCATTCATATGCGTATGGAATCGAAATCAACTTTATGAAGAATCCAATGAACAAGTTCTATGATTTCGGTCAGAACGCGATCAACTTTTTACTGAATCAACCCATCAAGTTTATTTTTCTTAGAACTTTTCCGACTCTCGGTCGAATTCTAAATATAAGATTTATAAAACATAACATCAAATTTCTTTAAAGATATTATATATATTATAGTTGCTATTGATATCGAGCATAGTATGCAGATATGCTGCAATTAATGATGAAGATTAGAGAAAGAATATAAGAAAGATCATAGAAAACTGGATATCGATGAAATGATCGTGCACGTGTTCATTTTTTTTTCGGTGGATTTGAAACCACTTCCATCTCGATGTCCTTCGCAGCTTACGAAATTGCAGTTAATCTAAAAGTTCAGAGTAAGTTATAATAAGAAATCGACAAGATTTTGGAGGAATTGAATGAAGATATAACTTACGAAGCTATTAACAGGTTTAAATATTTATATGCAGTGATAAGCGAGACTCTTAAATTACATATATCCACCGGTCGTCTTTTTGGAAAAGAAGTTTAGAGGATCTTATGAATTTCCACCTTCACTACCCGGCGGGAAATCTTTTATCGTAAAAAAGGATATGATTATTAATGATTCTGATTTTCGCAATCCATTGTGATGAAAATTATTATGATGATCTGGAGAAGTTTTATCCAGAAGGATTTACAAGCAACAAAACATACCTCAATTTTTTATGTTACATGCCATTTGAATTAGGGCCGAGAATGTGCATTGCCAATAGATATGCGATATTGGTAATGAAAGATTTGTTGTTTCACTTACTAACGCGATGTGAATTGAAATCTTATGCGAAAACTACGTATCCAATGAAATGGAGCAAGAAAGGTTTAGTAATAATACTAGAAAACAGTTGAATATTCAGCGTCGGAAAAGTATATCCTGTACTTGAATCTAATGAACAATTATATCTTAGGAAATATTTTAAATCAATCTAATAAACTCACTGATTTAAACATAGTATAATATACATATTAGTGGTTTAAGATTGATATAATATGAAAAATAAATATCCTATCTAAAGCAGGCAGCACTACTATTTATTATATTCTACTATTTGAAATCACAAAATAAACAATTTATGCTGTATTATTATACAATATACTTTGAAAAATTGTAATAAACAAACATTTTTCATACGATTATTTTTAATGAATATTTAGCGGTATAAATATAATATTACTAGGATTGAGAGAGAAAATTATTTATAAAAAGTAATTCATTACTTTTACATTGAAAAAAATAGCTCGTTATCGTTAATCGTTAGCCATTGAAAAAAATAACTTATTATCGTTTTTCAAAAATGAGTTGTCATAATTTTACTTTTTTAATTAAATTTTAAAAAGCTTTTTAAAGATTCTACATCCATACACACGTACCATATGCGCGCGTATATACATATCATATACATATACATATATACATACATCGTAACGTAATAATTGTACATGGATAAAATAATGATAAAAATAATTATATTCGTTATCATTATTTAAACAATATAATATCTTAACTCCTAAGTCCCAAATTATCAAGTCGTTACTGTAAAAGAAGTAATTATAATGGTAAGGCATTACAAATAATGTTTTACTTTTTAATTCTAAATATGATATACGTCCCGGTTAATACGGATTGTGTATAATATAAAATATATGTTAAATAAATGTGCTAAATGTGTGTTAAAAAAATGTGTTAAATAAATAATGGATATGTCCGCGATTTATTTAAAATACGTTTTCATTATACATATATAAATTTACCTATTAACGTATATGAACATATTTATAAATCTATTTAAGATATACTTATGAATGTATTATATGTACATTTGTTAAAATATTATCCAAGAAACGCAAATAGATAC